AGGGGGGTGCGCTTAAAACTTTTTCTTTTTCGACCGTCAACTCACAGTTTGTAGCCGATCATCTTCTCTCGTTTGTACTTCATCACTTTACCACTCCGATGGTCCGGTGGTGTTGCTAGGTCCCCATTCGGGGCACAGTGCAGTGGGGCCATCGGGGCAAGGGGAAAGCCTCAATTTCCCGACCTTCAGGTCGGTAAAGAGGCTGCTCCCTGGTGCGCCCCCTGGTTCGGAGCCTTTACCTAAGGCTCCTTAGGGTCTCCACTTGTGCGGATTCCCCCCCAAGCCGCGTGTGGGCTGATCGCCTCCAGGAGCACCCCGAGAGAGCGACCGCCATTCGTGCCGCCGTGGCCGGAAGTCCCAGTGGTATTGTCTTTTAATGGCTCTGGCTGATGAGTTTAGCTGGGCTGTGGCAGTCTGGCTGATGAGTTGAGTGATGAGTCAGCCAGCTAATCCCTTCCTGGCCAAGGCTCCTTTGTTAGGCTGTGGGGAGCCTAAATGCACCATCTGGTGAAGGTGAAGCGGGGTGGGGGGGATTGCCTGCATGTTGAAGGAAAGGTTTTGCTCATGGAGTCTCTTCAGGATTTGAAGTCCCTTTTGCAGAATATGGCATTTTTCCATGGCACACGGTTATTGGTTTCTGCGTGTGTGTCTAGGGAGCTGGTCTCTCTTCCTGCTGCACTGTGGGTAAGAGAGGGCAGGTAGCCTCAGGGACCACTGGCACATCATCTCAGGAGAAGGCTTTTCCGCTCCTGGCGTGTGTCTGCAGCTGGCATCACTTTGGGTCACCACAGAGTTCAGTCCCTTTTGCACACTAATTGCACAGTCCGGTTTTATCACTTATGAGCTCATGAGTCCGTAATAGCGCTACATGCGCCTTGCAGGGCAACATAGAGGAGGGTATGCAGTTGTTTTCTGTTGCCCCAGAAGGTCGGACCAGAACCAACAGGCTGAAATTAAATCAGAAGAGTTTTCGGCTAAACATGAGGAAGAACGTCCTGAGAGTTAGAGCGCTTCCTCAGTGGAACAGGCTTCCTCGGGAGGTGGTGGGCTCTCCTTCTTTGGAGGTTTTCAAACAGCGGCTGGATGGCCATCTGACAGCAATGCTGATTCTGTGAACTGCGGCAGATCATGAGAGGGAGGGCAGGAAGGGTTGCCTCAGTGCTTTGTTCTTGTGGCCCTTTCTTACACGCCCAGGAATCGCTGATTACCACTTTGGGGTCAGGAAGCTATTTTTCTCCAAGAAAGTTTGGTCAGGGATCCTGGAGGGTTTTGGTCATCTTCTGGGCATGGAATGGGTCACTGATGGGTGTGGGGGAGGGAGGTATTTGTGAATTTCCTGCATTGTGCTGGGGGGGGTTGGACCAGATAACCTGGGAGGTCCCTTCCAACTCTATTATTCTATTATTCTTTCTGAACTCTCCTAGTGTCTGTGGGACGGGTGGTCTGGGAGAAGCCAACCAAAGCTTAGGAGCTGCCATTTTGAATTGTATTGCCTTTGTGTGCTCCAAAATGGATTTTAAATTTCTCTCACATCTGGCCCTGTTCTACCTGTCTAATAATCTTATTCCACTTTTGCTCCAAGGGTGGGATTTGTGGTTCCCCCTCTTTCATTTTACCCTGACATGACTTGGGAGAAAGGTCCATGGGAGGGAGGGAGTGGCCTGAAGTCACCCAGTGGTCTTTGTGACAGAGGAGGGATTTGAACCAGCGTCTCCTGAGCCTGAGATGGTTAGACAGTGTCATAGATGCAACAAACATGAAGTTGAGCAAACTTCAGAGAACGGCGGAAGACCGGAAGGCCTGGCATGATCTGGTCGATGGGGTCGCGAAGAGTTGGACTCGACTGTGCGACTGAACAACAACAACTCCTGAGCCTAGTTTGTCATACCAAACACTACTCCATGCTAGTAGAGAAGAGCAAGAGTCCAGTAGCACCTGAAAGACTAACAAAAATTGTGGCATGGTGTGAGCTTTCCGAAGAAGTGTGCAGTGACCCACAAATTTTGTTAGTCTTTAAGGTGCTCCTGGACACGTGTTGTTTTCTTTTGCTACAGACTGACGTGGCTGCCCATCCTGAACTCCTCCATACTGTCTCTCGTGAGGGGATAAAGTGATTCCAGTGTCACTTTCCTCCCTGTGGTGGTCAAAATTAACTAGGGAAAGTTTTGAACTGTTACGTTTTCGCCATTGTTCACGAGAATGCCATAATAATTTTTACCTCTTCCTTCTTGAGCTGTGGTGGCTCAAGTGGTTAAGACGCTGAACTGCAGGCTGTGGAAGGTCGGTAGTTCAGCAGTTCGAGACCCAAGTGTGCCGCATGACGGAGTGAGCTCCTGTCTCTAGTTCCAGCTCCTGCCAACCTAGCAGTTTGAAAGCAAGAAATTGCAAGTAGATAAATAGGTACCACTTCGGTGGGAAGGTAACAGTGTTCCGTGCGCCTTGGCGTTTAGTCATGCCGGCCACATGACCACGGAAATGTCTTCGGACAGCGCTGGCTCTTCGGCTTTGAAATGAAGATGAGCACCGCAACCCTAGAGTCGGATTCGACTGGCTTTCGAGCAAGGGAAGCTTTACCTTTTTAAATAGGTACCACTTTGGTGGGAAGGTAACAGCGTTCCGTGCGCCTTGGCGTTTAGTCATGCCGGCCACATGACCACGGAAACGTCTTTGGACAGTGCTGGCTCTTCGGCTTTGAAACGGAGATGAGCACCGCAACCCTAGAGTCGGACTCGACTGGCTTTCGAGCAAGGGAAACCTTTACCTTTACCTTTTTACCTCTTTCTCCTGAGCACGTTGGCTGCTGCAGAGGTCCTTAGCCACTGCGCGGCTTTGCTTGCCTGTGCCTGGCCTTCCGCATGTCTCTGTTTTTGTACGCCTTTCCTGGAAAGTT